AGTCTTCCAATTTAATCTTTCAATTTAATATCCCGGGGCCCTTTGTGTTGGGACCCCGGTTGCCCTACGGAAAATTATTTATAAATAAAATAATCTATAAAACATAACACTCTAATTTCACTCACTTTTTTCTTTAATTCGGCACAAACACTACTTAACTAATTTCTGCTCCATCTATTGGGACAATATGGCTGCGACTATATAAAAATTTGCCTATCATGCCTATATCTCGCCATATTCCCTTCGCCTCTCTCGAAATTGGGTCATTGGACATATCAAGGCCATCCTAGCCATACCCAGAGCGAACCGGGCTAGTTTAAATAGCTAGATAGCCAAGACATCAGCAGAAGGGGCGCCACTCCAGTAGGGGTTGCCACCCTCCAACTTTATCGATAGCCCTACCAAAGACGAATACCTCCTTCTTAATTCTTCCAGCCGATTCCAACTCGAAATGCAACACCACCCAAGGATTTAGAGAGACGCCTCCGAACCATGGCCACTCGACGAAATCATTGGGAGCATTGGAGATCGGTGCCTGGCGAAATCCGCATGCAGTTCCAAACGGTGCCCTACGCGGGGCCCACGCATGCCGGTAAGTACTGCCTTTGTTTTTTTGTGTTGTGCTCCTTTAATTTATGCTGCCTCTTTTCTGGTTATACCCGGATGTCCTTGGCGTGATACACCCCTATCCGACGTTCTTGAAGATCTTCCAACTCGTAGGCATTGTTACCAACGGCTTTCACCACTCGAGCCTTAAGGAATTTCCTGGCGAACTTTCCAAAGTCACTGAGGACGAAGTTACGGCGGTATACCTCCTGACCTGGCTTGGCCATGAAGTTCCGAGCTCTCTGGTCGTACTGCTGGCGACTTCGCTCGTACCACTACCCGTTCAAGAACATGTGATGACCGAAAACCGTGAAGAAGGGCGTTTCGCCAGTTGCTGCGTGTATCGCGTTGCGAAGAGCCACCTCGATCTCCGGGAGAAATGCGTCCCATTCCCGATGGTCTTCCTCCAAATACTTCCGGATTGCCGCCAGCACGCTTCGATTAACTCGTTCTGCGGCGTTGCTTTGCGGAGAGTAGACTGGAGTCTTGATGTGGGAAATGCCGAAACTCTCCATTGCCTCCACGAAGATCTTTGACGTAAACTGTCGACCGTTGTCTGAGTGAATGATTTCCGGGACCCCGAACTTGTAGAATACCTCGTGGATGAGGAAATCTTCAGAAACGTGTACTTCGAAAAATGGTCGACGACAATGAAGATCCCTGCGTGGCCCTTCTTCGACCTCGGATATTTTCCAAGAAAATCGATGTACAGTTTCTGAAATGGCTGCTCCGTCTGGAGTCTTTCTCCAATACCAACTTGCATCCGGAAATTCGGCGCCTTGGACTCCTTACAGACATCACATCTGCGTACGAAAGCTCGGACCTGCAGCACCATACCTGGCCAGTAGAACTGTCGCCGTCTTTCCAGAGTCTTTCCCATTTCGCCATGAGCTGCTGTTGGGTCCGTATGCGCACGCTCGATTAGGCTGTGGGTCAGACTCTGTGGGATCCACAGTTTCCATTCGGAACCTTCCATCTCATCGTCCAGATTTGCCGAAGAGACTCTCTTGAAGATGAGACCATCCACGATCTTCAGATCCGGTAAGTTATCCAAGTTATTCTCCACATCCTTCACTAACTCGAGATAATCTTCTCCAGCGAACTCGGTGGTTTCGAACCCCAACAAATCCGTCGGATTAACTACGAGCTCGATGTTGAAGTGGAACCCTTGAAGCTGCAGCGACCACATCGCCAAACGCCCCGACAGATCCTTCATGGACATGAGCCACTTCAAGCTGGCATGATCCGTAATGCAGGTGAATGGCATCCCTTCGACATATGGCCGGAACTTCCGGATGGCCATGAGCGCCGCGAGACACTCTTTCTCGGTCACGGTGTAATTTACCTGATGTTTATTCATCTTGGCCGAGAAAAATGCAATTGGCTGCTCTTGTCCGTCGTCGTCTCGCTGGGAAAGCACCGCCCCGACTCCGACGTGTGAATCATCGCACTGGATAAAGAACCGTCTCTTGAAGTCCGCATGCACCAGGACTGGTGCAGTCGTTAAAGCCATCTTCAAAGCTTCTACCGCAAGTTGAGCCTCTGGACTCAAGGAAAACTTAGAATTTCCAGTTTTCTTCAGCGATTCAGTGAGCGGGGCGGCCAACATCGCAAAGTTCTTTATGAACCGGCGGTACCATCCAGCAGTCCCAAGGAACGCTCTCACCTCCTTCATCGTCCTAGGCTCTGGCATCCTCCTGATCGCTGCTACTCGTCCCGGATCCATTTGTAGACGACCTCCACCAACGATAAAGCCCAGGTAGGTCAATGATTTGAAGCAAAACTTTGACTTAAACATACCTATCGTTAACCCCGCTGCTTTCAGGCATTCCGCGACTCTCCGAAGGTACTTGAAGTGGGTCTGGATATCTGGAGCCAGTATCAGCAGATCATCGAGGTAGACAAAAACGTTGGAACGAATCTCAGCTGGGATCACTCGGTCCATAAGTCTCACCAACCGCTGCGCCGCGTTGCAAAGTCCGAAGGGCATCACGCTGGAGACATGGGATATGGCCGATCCTTGAAGACCTTGGCTCCTTCGATCAGCTCGATCGTGTGCTTCTCCAAATTAGTCGTACCCAGACCATCCTTCTCAAATGTGAGAAACACCTCCTGGATCTCAGCGAGCTGTCGTGCGTCGGCTCCGGATAAGGTCCATGATTCGGGATCCGGTTTCTCCTCGTCGTCATCTTCCTGTTCGGCGTAGTGCTCCATGTCCCTAGCGTGGATTTCGTCTGCCTTCTTCACGCTTTCCGGGTTGCTGGGGCCTATCACCGCTGGAGCCAAGTCAAACGCCTGCCAGAAGTCAACTCCAAAATAGGCCTCCTGCTCCAGGTAAGGGCATACATAGAACACGATCCGCTTTATCTGTCCTCTGTACTCCACAGGTAGTTCGACGCGCCCTATAATCGAACGGTCCACTCCAGGACTACGGACAGGTATTTCTGGACAGGTACATCCAACGCCTCGACCAGCTCCCTGCAACCTTTGCCCAGCAGGCTGACACTCGCTCCCGTGTCTAATAAGCCAGTCAGCTGCTTGGTCAGGACTCGGACTTCGGCGTATGGTCGAGGGTCTCCCGTTCCACTGCGCTTCACAGCGGCAACCACTTCTCGCCTCCTCGCTCGTCTCTTCCGGAATCGATCCCTGGCCTTCTGGACTTTCCTAGACACCGTTCGCATGCCGGCTAACTGGTGCTCGGAGAATATTCTATTCCTGGTCTCCAAGTAGCTGCGCATCCTCTCCTCATAAGGTAAGTATTTTAAACTGTGCTTATTACTACTCGTACATACTAAACCTTTTTTTACTTTCTAGAACATCTACTGCTTCGCGGGACTCTTGTCTGGACGCATCTTTCCCGCCCTCGGATCGCCCAGCATACCGTTTTCCGCGCAATTCGGACATCTCGGAGACACGGTGTCTGGCCTTCCACATCGGTAGCAGAACAGGCGCCGTTCTGTTGCCGCGCAGTCACGGAACCCGTGGTCTACGGCTCCGCAATTCCAGCAGCCCGCTCGGAACGGATTTCGGGCCTTCGCTTATAACGCCTCCACTTGCCACTGAGAATCCTCTGCAGTATCTGGACCAGCTGCCTCGCTAACCCTGGCCTTCTCCGCCGGAGGATAACGCATCGGTTGCGCATAGGCCGCGCGTCCTCGTCGTCCAAAATTGCGCTCCACCTCGCAGCACTCTTCCCGTAACTCGTCCACAGTCATCACATCCATTGCGTAAACGAATCTTGCGATACCCTCTCTCAAGCCCTTTTAAATTATTTTTACCATCTGTCGCTCGTCCTCGCCATCAAAAGTAACGCCCCACCGCTCGATGCGAACCTGTTGGCTGCCGCCACCTAGCCCTGTATTGGCATATAAACGCGGCTCCTTGCGGAAATCGGAAGCCCTGCGGTCCTCGAAGTGCCAATTTCGAGGCTCGTTGCGTCGCCCTCGTTCGCCATCCAGAGGATATCCTGGACTGCTGCTCTCCACCGGAAACGACTCCAAGGGCCTTCTAGGCGGCTTTGGTGGAACCTTTGGTGGCGGTGGACGGGAGCCAATCGTACTTGCTGATGGTGCCGTCTTTGGAATTGCCCCTTTCTGGACCAGACTTGGAGCCTGTGGTGCCGCCCTGTCCGTCCAACCCGGATGTTGCTGCTGATCGGTATGGTTCCCCTGTGGAAGCTGCGGCCGCTGAGCAGCAGGCCTTAACACCTCGTTCATCAGCTTCATCATTTCCAGGAAGCCACCTCTGATTTCATCCCTTAAGGACTGGCTGACGCCGGACTCCTGAGCCTTTCGATGGGTCTCTGCAGCCTGGGCCAATGCCACGTTTACGGCCGACCTCGCCGCGTTGTCCAGAAACGCCTCCTGTGTACGGTCACCCCTTCCGTCGATCTGTAGAAGCTGGTTCTGAAGTTCCCAGATGGGAACCACTGACCCTCGCCGGTGGACTTCCGACCTAACTCACCAAAACCCATTTTTTCCCGTCACATCCCAGCCATTCGTCAACTGAACTGGCCGCCAGTTAAGGACTTTGGGTGGTGGTTGAGTCCTGTTGGCTTTGTTTTCCCGTTTGTTGTTTGATCCTTAAATCGAGGTGTTCGACAACGCGTGTAAGTCACGGGTCACGAACACACATTTAAGCATCCAACCGACAGAAGGTATCAACCACATCCGAGAAACCAAAAGCCTCCGGATCAACAAAAAAAACAACAAATTGAATTACTACAACTGACTTTACCCCCCCAAACACAAAATATAAATAAATAAATAAATAAAAACTACGCCCTAACATATTTTATCACAGTTTATTATCACAGTTTTTATCACAAATTTAGTTATCTGCGGATGCAAATCTTTTGCCTTCAGGGTCAAGATGCCACCCGCAGGTCACCTAGTCTGTGCTGTGACCAGGAGCCTCCTGCCTGCTCAAAAAAATAAATTCCCCTTAACTTTTCTCTGCCTCGCAGCCCACCACTCTCGGTGCAGTTGCATACAACCTGCTGTTGCTGTGCAAGTCACCGGAGCGGAGGCTATGCGAGGCAAATCCCTATATGCGAGACGTCGTCGTCTCGACGATTTATTTTTTTACATTAGGCGCGGAACTGCATTTGGTCCTGGGACGGCGCCGGCTAGCTCCCGAATCCCCAGGGCGGAGTATCCCCAATATCCCTACAGTATCCACAACATAAACATCGATATACGCGCGTCTCACTTCACAAAAACTATCGCTCATCACTAACAAACAAAACAAACCAAAATGTAAACAATGCAAACAATTATAATTGACGGGAAAAATGTGGTGTTTTGGTGGCTATCGATGACTTGGCCAAGCACGCCCACCCAACCAATGATGCCCCGGAGGATTCTGCGGAGGCATCACCCATAATCTGCTGGTCGAAGTCACTCCTCGCGACTAGGACAGCTCCATCTCCCCCACAGCGACAACTCACTCGCACATTTCAGTCTTCATATACATTTAATATCCACAGTAAGTACTAAAGTTAACATAACTTGCTCTCCTAGTAATTAATTCATCTTTCCTTAGCCTTTACGACCAAACTTGGCCACCGTCTACAAATTTACGCGGTCAAAGCGGAAGATTACCTTCCTTTGGCAAAGGCTACAGGCGCCGCGGAAATAATGTTCCACCAGACATGTATTGGTGGAACTCGCAGTGGAACGAGGCGCAAAAAAGGGCACACACTAGGTATGTGTCAGGTCACCTAATCCTGAGGAGCTCCTAGGGAAAAAAAGGGACAGGCCAAACGGTAAGTATTACGCGCTGTAAACAATCCCGCCGAAAACTAATAATTGCGACCCTTTTTTACAGGCAACAACGAGGACAAGAATTGAGGTTTTCGGGTCTAAGTCCGGATATATTTACAGGTCAACAGGTAAGTACATAAATTTAGTAATGTGCACAGTTAAATTAACATTAATAATTTCAGCCACTTCTGGGCTAGGCGCCGGGCTAAATATGCCCCGACTGCAGCGTACTCTGCCGGAGGCCAGCAGCAATGAGGGCCTGGAACACCCCGAGGAACGGTGGCGAAGGCGAGCCTGATGGCGGTGCCTCTCAACGCCGCGCGAAATGGGCAGCCAGTTACTCCAAGGCGACTTAACAGCCAGGAACGGACTCACCGGCGTATTTTAAAAAGCTTTGGCGGCGTCCGAGGATGGCGAGTTATTGTGGTCCAAAATGTATCGCTTGGTTGAAAGAAGGTGCGTAGAGGTATGGATGCCAATATCCAGATTTAATTTCCTCCAATTTAAATATCCAATTTGAACTTCCAATTTAAATTTTGTCCAATTTAAATATCCAATTTGAACTTCCAATTTAAATTTTCAGATCTAATTAGTCCAATTAAGTCTTCCAATTTAATCTTTCAATTTAATATCCCGGGGCCCTTTGTGTTGGGACCCCGGTTGCCCTACGGAAAATTATTTATAAATAAAATAATCTATAAAACATAACACTCTAATTTCACTCACTTTTTTCTTTAATTCGGCACAAACACTACTTAACTAATTTCTGCTCCATCTATTGGGACAATATGGCTGCGACTATATAAAAATTTGCCTATCATGCCTATATCTCGCCATATTCCCTTCGCCTCTCTCGAAATTGGGTCATTGGACATATCAAGGCCATCCTAGCCATACCCAGAGTGAACCGGGCTAGTTTAAATAGCTAGATTACAATACAATATTACAATAATAACCCAAAATCTAAACCAGCTTAGTAAGTTATCCGGAAATATAAACAAATCAATCGGTTTTAATTCGCCTATGTCCTTGAAATGGCCTACCAAAAAACCGGTTACAGTCAAAACTATATCGATGGAAAGGCAAAAAGATTATATTTTAGTATTGCAAATCATAAGCTTCAGTCAATACCATCATACGTCTCCCATCCCTTTTTTGTAGGTTCACGAAGACGCATGTTACTTAGAACGAATTATTCAAATGAATGAATTATTACTTACGTAAAGCTGATGCTGTGTAAAACTCCTTCATTTTTATGCGTGTACCTTTCTACCATGTGCCAAATTCCAATAAACATTTAATAACGAGTATTAAATTATTAAGTAGAAGTCATCCCCATGCAAAGAGGTATGTTAATATTGTCTACTATCCATTTGATATCTCCATGCCAACATGGATTTATAATTCGAAGTTTTACGCTCCAAACCTTCTTAGACTGACGTAGTTTTTTCGGATCAAAATATAACCTTCAGTATGGGATTTTAAAAATCTTTTGCTTCTTGTACTAAAATTAATTAATATTTAAGCTAATATTGTGGTACTATTGAATGCTTGACTATTTGACTAAACAAAGTGCGTACCTGCTAACTTAAAAGAGTAGTTTATTTTAACGTCCAGTAACTGTACCTGAATATTGGTAGCGGACTTTGGTAGGGGCTTTTATGTATTAAACTTGGTTGAACAACCTACTCAAGGCAGGCTTCTGGAATTTATTAATGGATTAAGGAAGCAACAAGAGGCTGCTGCGATAGCCCAAGCGGCTGCAATTGATAAGTTGTTGTAACGCTTTGATCAAATGATGTCAGTAATGACGACCACACTACAAATGTTACAGAGCGTGATTTCTAAGCACGCCAATCTATCAGGTTCAACGCAGTGCGATGACTAATTACGGTATAAATATCGTTATTTGGAACGCCAACAACTTAGTTGGCAAATCAATCGAGATTGAGCACCTCCTCCAGGAACGCAACATTGACATTTTATTGATTTCAGAGACACATTTTACCAGCCGTACATTCTTCCACATTAATGGATATGCTGTTCACTCTGCCAACCACCCTGATGATCGACATCGTGGTGGTGCTGCTGTCATCATCAAATCCTGTTTAGATTATCACATAAGTGCCACAATATCGGAGCCTCACCTGCAAGCAGTTGCCATAAGTTTGGTCACTGGGTTTGGCAGTGCTGTCATTTGGTGCTGTCTACTGTCCACCTGGTCACCGCCTTTCTTGGACGACTGAGGAATATCTGCGTCTTTTTGGCTCTGTAGGTAGCCGCTTTCTCATTGGAGGGGATTGGAATGCGCACCACAGTTTTTGGGGGTGCAGGCGATCATGCCCTCGGGGAAACACCCTGATGTCAGTTATTGCTGACTCAAATATGCAGATTTTGGCTACTGGCGGACCCACTCATTTTCCTTGGATCAATGACCACCTCCCGACGGCCATTGATTTTGCTGTGTACAAAGGCATCCCGTGCAACCACCTTACAATCTCAGAGTGCCCGGGACTTTCCTCTGATCACATTCCGCTCCAGCTATATTTTTGCGATCGTTACCAAATCCAGGCTTCTTCCCCGGGGCTCGGATCTTAAAAGATTCAGTGCGCAACTGACTGCTCTGACTCAGGAGCAACCTTCACTTCTTTCTGTGGACGACGTAGATTCCTTTGCTGAGGTCTTAGTTGAACAGATCCATCAAGCTGCCCCTCCTCCTAGAAGTATACCTATTCCTCCTCCATCTTGGGCTTATTCAAAGCCAGAAATTGCTGCCTTGGCCAGAAAGGGTCATGCACTTCGCCGTGTCTGGATGAGGACGAGGCATACCATCGATATGGCAAAGTGGAAGGCTACTGTATCAGAACTAAGGAAAGTCCTCCGTTCGGCCAAGTCAGAATTTTTAATAGACAAGCTCAGTGCAATTGATCCTAACCAGAATCACGGATTTGCGCTCTGGAAATGCACCCGCAACCTTAAAAGACAGCCGCTTCAAAGGTTTTCCCTTAAACGTGGTGATGGGACTTGGGCCCACAGTGATTCCGAGATTGCTGAAGTATTTGCTGATGATCTTGAAAATCGCTTTACTCCATTTGAATTTGCAACAAGCGAAGAAGTCCAGACAACAATCTCTAGGTTAGGACTTTCATTTGGCCCTCCTGTTACTGTCTGTCCAGTAGACGAAGATGAGGTACGTGGTCATATAAAGCGACTGGTTACTACTAAAGCTCCTGGCATGGACGCGATTGATGGCAAAGTAGCAAAGGCTCTGCCTAGCTCTGTCATTGCACAGCTCTGTCTCCTCTTTAATGCTTGCCTGGACCTTGGTTATTTTCCATCACCTTGGAAACGAGCATTGGTCACAATGGTGGCAAAAAAAGGAAAAGACCCATGTTGCCCGGAATCTTATAGGCCGATTAGTTTGCTGTCCACTTTCTCCAAGATTTTTGAGCGGATCATGCTTGGTAGACTTCTAGCTATTAACGCCTTTGAAGACGCACTTCCGAACCACCAGTTTGGTTTCCGTAGTCGCCATAGTGCTACCGAGCAAGTGCACAGAGTAATTAACCATGTCCTGGGGGCTTTCGAAGACCACAAATACTGCTCAGCCGTTTTTCTCGATGTTCGACAGGCCTTTGACAGGGTTTGGCACAAAGGACTGTTCTACAAGCTAATGCCGCTGTTGCCTGAAAGGCTCTGGAATCTCGTTGTATCGTTCTTAGATAACAGGGAGTTTGCTGTAGACATTCGTGGACACCGTTCTGGACTTCGCCCAATTCGTGCTGGTGTCCCGCAGGGAAGCGTCCTTGGTCCGGTCCTCTATACAATTTACACGTCGGATCTTCCAAACCCAGTTGCTCGTGGTACACTCCTGGCCACATATGCAGATAACACTGCATTTCTTGCAGCTGGTAGCACCACTACGTCTGCGTCCCGACGTGTCCAGACATTCTTAGACGAATTTGAGTGCTGGGCCTCTCGATGGAACATTGCGCTTTATGTTGACAAAACGCAACATGCCACTTTTGCTCTCCGCCCTGGCCGTTCGCGTAGCCTTTACATTGATGGGAATAGGCTCAAGCACGAAGATAAGGTGACGTACCTCGGAGTTACCTTAGACCGTCGCCTTTGTTGGAAGGGACAAATTGATCGAGTTTGTGGATCAGCAAGAACAAAACTTGACAAAATGGACTGGCTCCTTCGTCCAGGCAGCGGCGTATCCCTTGAAGCTAAGGTGCGGCTTTTTAAGGCTATTGTCTTTCCAACTTTAAACTGGGGAATCACTTTCTGGGGCACGGCCTGTGATTCGTCACTAAAAAGGGTGCAAACATTCATTACAAAGGCTCTCAGGAGGATGCTAGGGGTGAAGTGGCACCATTATGTAGAAAACCGAGTTATGTTCCAGGACACGGGAGTGCCGATATCCTCAAGTCGATATCGGGAACGTTTGCTTACACATGCAAACTGTCTGGCAAGACATCTTGCAATACCACTGGGTCGACGGCGTCTCCGCAGACGACACACGGCAGACTTATGGATTCTCGGCCGTGACAGACACGGTCGTCTTCTGTAATAACACATCTTGATTAACTTTTGACCGGTTATGACCACACCTGATTTGCTCAAGAATGAAGCACCCGTTACCCGCTTTTTTTGGGATCTTTAGAAATAATTCGTCAATACACGAAAACAAGGTCCATCCTTGTGTAGCGTGTCCAACAAACTATAAAAAAAAAAAAATTAAACTTCTCGCTTATGAGAGGTTTCTTGTAGAGTCCTTCATTGTTAAGGGACCCTGTTTTTCTGCGTGGGTGGACGACCATTTT